GTGTTGAACTGGTCTGTGTATAACTAATTCTCATGTAACTGTGTTGGAATTAATTGGACTGATCAGTATGTGATTTGGAATTAATTTGATAAAATCAGGATATTGATTGTTAAAATGCATTGAAGTATAATTTATTGTCAGTAACAGGAAAGTTGAAAGCTTTTCAGAAATTTGTTGGTAAATCATTAAGATCACATAAGCCTAATTTTTTTAATGACAAGAAGTATTTAACTGTTTCTTTTAGCTTGCCTTAAACTATGTTTTTTTTTCCCTTCAGGTTTCAGACTGAAAAAAAAAACCTGCTTCGGAAATGTCAGATGTATCCAAAACCTTTCAACAGTTTCCTGAAATACACCTGGGCAAGGTGATGATCCGACTTCAGATATGTTCTCCGCTCATATTTAGCTTAAAAATAAAACAAAAGACAGGAAGGACACGAATGAGGACACACACACACACAAAAAAAAAATCATTATGGCAATTCTCATTTTAGGAAGATATATGTAATTTTTATATTGTCCAATTATTCTGTTCTGTATAATTTGTTTGCTAATTTTTGGACTTTGGACTTAAAAAACATCTTAGGCCTACTTCATCAGGCACATACCATTACATTTCCCCCCTAAATGTCATCAGGGAGTGGATTTCTTTCTATTAGTAGATGTCGAATGAGGAGCAGTGGGAGGGATATTTGCTTGGACCAATTAAGTCTGCCATTAACTCCCAACGACTCACTCAAACACACACATACGCAAAGGAAAAGGTACACACAATATTTAACACATTTAATTTAACACTCTGATAGTCTGTTCGTGGGCAGGTGTGGGCCTCTATCTGTATGAAACCTGTTGGCACTGAAAGAGGACTGTGAGGAAGATCCTTCCATCTTCTGCTTTCGTCCCTTCTGTTTCTCACTTTAGGATTAGTTGAATGCTGAGAATTAATGTGGTGGTGTGTGTGTATGTGTGAGTCGTCAGCTCCAAGGCCTTCATCTTTTTCAGTGTTTCACCCAGAATAAGTGTTTCTGCTCAGTCACGCAGCTTCAAGCACTGACACATTTTAGCTTTATTATCATGTCAGAGTAATATTCAATGCCTCCTCTGATTTTTGTAATTTGTGATATAAGTGATAAGCTGTTGGCCAAACTTAAAACCCTTTCAGTATAAATTGACTTAAAAAGTAACTCTTATGCACATTTAATAGAGCCCAGATACAATACTCCATGATGTTTGGGACATTGATGTAATTGAGCGTTTTTAGCAACAGAGAAAATCCCAGTTGCACTTAAAAATGCAAACACCCTCATGCCCCCCATGACAGTCAACTTGGGGATGAGTGCCTTGCCCAAGGGAACGCCAACATGTGGCAGAAGGAAGTTGGAATCAACCCACAACTTTCAGATCACAAGACAAGTACTCTGCTTGCTGAAGTCCCACAAGCAAGAGGCTAAATTAAAATCAATGGAAAGGGTTGCTTTTTGTTTAGAAAGTTTTCAGAAATTAATATCAAATTGAATTAGGAAATAGAGTTTCTATGAGTATTTTTCTCCATAATTTATAAAAATTATGGAGAGACATATCAAGACAAATGGAATGATACACAATACATAGTGGATTTTTTCTAGGTACAAAAGGGAAAAAAGGAAGGGGTGAAATGGTAAAGTCTAGACTTGGAACAAGAGTGGAAATTTAAGAAGTGGAAAATTGACTTGCAGTCCTTTTATATAACTGAAGCTCTCTGCTTTACAGATCTCCTCAGATAGATCAAAAATTGGTATCTTAGAATGTCAACATTAAAAATGTAATCTAAAAATCCTATCAAAAAGTCTACTCACATTTACTTAAGAACTGCAAACACACCAGAGTGCTTCTAGTTGCTTAAGCATTTGTCCCTAGGAGAGTATTATTTTTACCAGAGAAAACTTTAAACTAGCATTTGTATTCCTCTATGTTTTGTTAAGTGATGACAAAGACAAAACACGTGATTAGCAAATATGATTTTTAGATGAAAATATCCATCTTGCTCTGGTTTCAAGTCCTGCAATACTCCCTCTAACTTTTCCCATTGGGTTGTCTACCTGGCCAAAGGGGCTGTGGATATGATTCATGTCTAACTCAAAGTCTGCATCCCAGTCCTCTCTAATCCTTATTATGTGCAGTGTTTGGGCTGGAGGGAGTCCATTATGCTGACTGTATCACATCTTTGTCCAATGGGGGCCCCGCACAGAGACTCTGAGAGGAAGGAAGAGCAAAGACGGATGGGATAGTGGCTCCCAGGCATATTCCAGGGAAGAGTGTGTGTATGGATGCATGAGTGTGCAGCGAAACTCGGACACAGCAGACATGTGTCACCTCAGTTCTTGCGCCATCAAGCTAAACTGACATAAACAGCCCCGGGCGGCCCTATCAGAGATGGACTTTACATAACGGCTGAGTCACTCACAATCTATTTTTATGGCTTTGAGGTGTGTGTGCAGTTGTGAGTGTTGAAGAGCTTTATCTTCTTGAGAGCATATTTAAGACCCTCAGTGTGAGGACAAAACATATGTGGTGCTGGGTCATGTTGACCCTGTTTCACTGCTTTCAGGGATGATATGAGCAGGGGTGAGGTTCAGCGCTGGCAGGCATGTAGGTCTGGGACGAAGTCTGGGACAGTTGCTTGTCCATATGACAGATATGATAGTGGGAGAAGAAAGAGGCTTCTGTATTCTGAAATCACACTAAATTCAGATTACAAACAAAAACTTGCAAAAATGAAATAAAACCTTTAAATGTAGCTGGTAGGCACAGAGTTCAATGTTTTACTTCAGCAACAACAGCTGGCACCGTCACACACTCTTAGTGCCATTAGCTCTTTTTCCAGTCAGTGGAGATCCAAAGAAAATCTACCTGGTCAACAACACTGCAGGAATTAATCTTTCATATAAGTACAAATGAATGCTGCATTTGTCAAAGATTTCTATACAAATTGTAAACATAAAATCCCATTAGAAATAGATAAAAACCGTTATGGTTCAATGTTAAAAGTTGAAAGTGATTGTTGTATAGTTAACAGTGTCCAAATAGTTGACATGCCACATACATAATGATAAATACCATTTTCAATAGACTTGAGTGAATTTGATGCTGTAAAGGTACAAATCCATGCACACACTTTCACACACACAACCCCCCCCACACACACACACACACACACACGCACACACACAGCTGACTCCCTTGCTGAGTCCCACTGAGCCTTTCCTGCTCCACTTTTATCAGTAATTCTGGACCATGTCAGTGTTTAACCCCCTCCCACGCTGTCACACATGCTGCCTTTCTTCCTTAACAACCTGGATAGCCATCCATGGTCATCCAAACTGAGCTTTTTTTCCCTGTCGTTCCTTAATGCACTTGGACAACGGTCCAGGACACCAGATTAGACAGCAACAGCTGCAGCAGCAGTTGTCACACACCTCCCTGCTCCCTTATCATGTCATTACTGGATAGGCACACTTATGCAGCATGTAAATCAATGTGCATTGTGTATGTGTGTGTGTTTTAAAGGAGCAAGTCCGGCTTGTTGCTTTCCAACTCAAGTGTGGCAAAAATCATTTTGCGGTCCAATCCAGCAGGATTCTCCTTCTCTCGGCAGGAGAGTCCTTCTAACATTTTAGGGAGGCTGCTGGATTCCTTTCTCATGGCTGCATCCAGCTCAGAGTGGAAAGCACTTATAGCGCCAAAATAAGACATTTTTTAAAATGTTCAAGCCTCAACCCCCACCCTCCCCTCAGCCCGCTTGAAACACACACACACAGCCGCCCCTTTGGGCACAGGAAGATGCCTGGCTGTTGCAATCCTCTCATGAGTTTGTGGTGTTAACATGAAAAAATGAAGTGGGTTAAGTACAGAGTAAGCTGCAGCCAGTCATCATCACTCAGTAATTACCAGTCAGAGATGTTTCACAGGGGACTGGGGCATCCTTTCCCCCACCCCATTTTCCCTCTTGTTCCATTAAGAGGTGCAGCGTAAATTTATGCCCCATAGAGTCGGAGAAAGGTGAAAAGATAAACTCTGAATCCCTTCTCACAATGCTCAAATTAAAGAAAGAAAAGAAAACATGTCCTTGATTTGTCCTTGTAATCTCTACTTTAATTTGAGCGAAATTAGTTCGTTTTTCCAGTCATGACTGAAGAAAATGAAATTTGGCATCCATGCCACTTGTATAATTTGGATTATGCAAAAGCTATCACATTCAGGGGTAAGACACAGGAGAATCCCCTTTCAGTAACGCAGTGCGCTTGTTTGCGTGCACAGGTGCGGGTTTTGAAAGTGAATCAAATTGAGACTGAACACAGTGAGTCGAGTGGTCGTCAAGTGAGAATGAATTTGCGCTATGCGTAAAAAAAAATAAAACGGCATTAACGGAGCATTCGCGATAAGGGCGCAAAACATGGCACAAGGCAGATTAGGAAGAAGACGCACATGGAACCGGTGGCGATAATCCCGTTATCTCGTTGGACGTGCGATGCCAGCGTGAAAGCATTCTTCAGAGACCGAGCTGAACTGAACACGAACTATTGCTGCGGGTATATACAAACGGAGGAGGGGGTGGTGGTGCTGAGAACACGAGGTAAACACTGTTGTTCTTGACCTTAAGGGACACGCACGTCTTTTACCGCAATGTCACTGGCGCTCTCCACCTTCTTCTCTGATTAAAAGCCAGCACACATATAACCTCCTCATGACATTGTGCCACCTTTGTTTTTTTTTCTTTTACTCTCCATTATAACAGCGTGTTCCATTGCACACATCCGTGATGGATGACTGCTGTCAAGTTAAACGGGGCGGGAATCAAGGGCTCTCCTCAGGTCTGCGTTACCGGGGCGCATGCTGGTTTTCACCTTTTCACATTACGCGCGAAAGGATTGCGCGTGTGCACATAAAAACAGGCGTATATAGAAGTATCCCCAAATTACGCACAAGTTAAGTGAGAAAATAAAAAGACAGGACAACACTTACGGGATCAGACAGGACTCTTTGGGCTCCTCTGTGCGCCCCATTGTTGATTTCCCGTTATTTCCAGGCTTGAACGGAATCCTCAAATTCCGTGGTCGCAGTCCACGTCCCTGCAGATGTACCAGAGGATCACATATAGGATCAGCAGGATGGCGAAGATGAAGAGCGCAACAAGGATGGCTTTGGTCACCGGAGAAATGAGCGACTGCATGTCAGGAGCAGAGCCGGGCAGAGCGGCGTCCGTCCGGTCCTCAGTCTGCCGTCTCCCTCTCTCTCCCTCCTTCTGGTGGCAACTGTTGAGGACCGAGTCCGAGGGCTTCCTTTTGAACACACACGTGTAAGTGCTGCGCGCGCGTGCACACGCGCAGCCGGGTGAGAGAACCTGAATATAAATAAATATATAAATGCAAAACCCCCGGTGATCCAGGCGCGCAACGCGTGGGGGGCTTCCCTCGCTAGAGGTGGTGTAGTAGTGAGCTGTCTCTTCCCAGATACAATCTTTCCGGCGGCTTGTCACACATCAAAAAAAAAAAAAAAAAAAACGAGCCAAGGAGACAAAAGTGGAAACAACCAGTTCGCGGTTCAGTCAAAGAGAAACGCACATTTCACGCACATTTTATTAACGATGCGCTGGCAGAGACGTGTTAGCGCGTGCTGAATGAAAAAGTTGCGCACCGAGCTGCCTGCTGCACTTGACGGCAAACAGGTTGATTAGTATTCCTCACAGCGCCGACTGTGTGTGTGTGTGTGTGTGTGTGTGTGTGTGTGTGTGTGTGTGTGTGTGTGTGTGTGTGTGTGTGTGTGTGCGTGTGTGTGTGTGTGTGGGGGGGGGGGGGTGTGTGTGTGAGTGAGAGGGAGAGATGGCGGGCGTGACATGGTATCGTCTTATCTCTCCCATCCACATCTGTTTTTTTTAATAACAAAGATGTCAGTGGAAGTAGAATTAGATGAGTTTCAATGCTTATTAGAATAAAATAGTTTAGCGCTTTGTCTTCTCATTGATTTGTTACGCAATGCAAGACGTTGTCAGGGAACTCTAGTTAGCTGTATGGATGAGGTGGCCTTGAATACTGTGTAATGCTTCCTTTTATGCAACAAAGTAATGCACAGATGTGTGGATTGGGGGAAAAAGACAGTTTTTAGCAAACAAATTAAAAAGTTTGGCATGCTTTTTTTTATTTCACCTCCTTTATTAGGATACCCCAAAATAAAATCTCGTCAGTCTCATACTTGTTAGACATTATAAACAAACTGCATTATCTATCATTGGCAGTCCACAAATCTGGACTGTATTAAAACAGGGTGTATAAAAAACTGTTTTGGAAAGAAATCCACAAGAAGCCTAACTTGCAGCTTGCAACAATCCACAGAAAACATGTGGAAGAAGGTGCTGCTCTGAGATCAGAACTAAACCATTTTAGTTTATCTACAAAGTCTAATGGGTTTCAAAATGCTAAGACTGTCAATCATGCTCCAGCTCCACGCTTCTACATTGGGTGGTGGCAGAATCATGCTGCGGGGATGTTTATTTATTAGTAATAGTTATTATTATTATTATTATTATTATTATTATTATTATTATTATTATTATTATTATTATTATTATAGGGAAAGTGAAACTGTCAGAATTGATGGGTAGATGTAAATATAAAACAATCATGTAACCTGTTTGGGGCTTGAAAACATTTGTGAGAGCAAAAAACAAAACAAAAACAAATAAAAACAAACAAACAAACAAACAAAAAACACAACAACAACAAAAAATCCCAGAAACTATTATACTTTAGTTCCATTCGACTGAGTTACTTAGATAAACAGGACAATTTCAAACACTGCACAAGTGTTTGGCATACTTTGCTCTGGTACTTTTCTTTCGTAAAATATTCTGTCTTTTGTTTAGTTCATATCTCATACATCGGCGAAAATAATGCTCCCAATAGAAACTTGAAATCACGAACCAGCGATCCCGTCTGCATAATTGAAACATGGAGATCGCAGCATAATGAGTGCACGAACCACTGTCCTCCACTAGATGGCGACAAACAGCCATCATCCATGTCTTCGTCAAACGGGATGGTGTGAAAGATTATTCCGTGCAGTCCTTTGGAGTAGTGCCCAACAGTGATGATAGTTAAACTGCTTTAACGCACAGAGGTGAGTATAAATATTGCAGTACTGAGGGTTGGCATCTCGTAAATGATCGTTTAGTCTTTATTAACAAGCCCACTGTTTGTCTGTCGTAGTGCCGAGCTAGCAAATGTTAGCTTTGCTAGCAGGAAATATCGTATCAAGTGAAGGGGAGCTACGGAGAAGCCAGTCTCTGCTGATTATTGTAAGGAAAGTATTTGACTAATATGTCGCACACTGTCGGCTGACGGTTACATAAGACACCAGTTATGTGAGGGCGCAGTTAGTATTAGGATAATTGCACGAAATTACAGTAAGACTAACAAACTACTTGCAATGCTAGCGGCTATTTACTTAGCTTCAAACAGGCCAGAAAGATGTCAAGTCTTTCAAAGCGGACTGTCTCTTCCTGTTACATTATTCAGATTAAAAGACGCACCGAGGCGCGCTTTTGAACGGATCTTAGCATTTCTATATGTATGCGCAAGTAAACATCTTTAGTTTGATGTTTTAAGCGCTTTATAAATCAACTAGTATATTAAATGTATAAATGTGGCAATATTTTTGGGATGTATTTGGAAATGTGACGCAAAATATGCAATATGCAAAATATTTTGTTTTGCATTTACAAGTGGTTTAAAAATATTTCTAAATAAATGTCTTTTGCCTTACTATTTACATGTTCACATCCTTTTAAGTAACGAAATCCGAGTCTTTAAGTTGTAATATGCTGTCCATGTAGAATTTTTTGTTTTAAGATAAGGTGCCATATTGTAGAAAGATCTGGACATAAGCATATTTTTTAAATCTATTGCAAAGAAAAACGTTTTAACAGCTTTGGGGGATATGCAGAAAAAAAGAAATAACTGCTGCTTCTGGGAGGAAGTTGAAAAGTGCTTTTATTTTGAAGAGTAGGTCGCCCTCTTCCTGTTGTTTCTGTTACTGGTCGTACTAGTGCAATGTAGCAGATTTGATGAGCGCGGTGAGCTAGTTGGCTAACTGGGGTCCCAGGCCATTTAACCTGAGTGACACAGTGAGTGTGTTTCCATTGACTGCAGTTGCTTTTTATTGTCGTGGCTTAAATTTTCTCCCAGGCTTGTGTCCATTCACTCTCGGCCTGCGAAACCCCGATAAAAACATTCAGAAATGCTACGTTAGCTAAGCCTTACGGAGCTGAATTCAAGCCATTGCTAACGCTACTTACTTGTTATGTTTTTACGAAGCTGAAGTTGGTTTCAAATTCTAGCTTCCGATACGGGAAATGGCTCAAGAGCGATTTCACCTAATTTTTCACTACCTTCCGCATCTTTTATTGACTAGTTAAAAACTACAACACCTATACTCCTCAAACCTGGACTGGATTATTCTGCGCTAAGAGCAGAATATTTATAACCATGTTTGGGATTTGTGAAACCTTTATCTGATTTGTGAAACTGCAATAAAGATTGATTTTAACACTTTTTTGGGGGTCTCTGTCATAATATAACTGCTCCAATTCCAAAACTACAATACGTAGATACTTCAAACCTTGACAAAATTATTCTCAACTAATAGTATAATATTTAGAACCATGTGTGGGATTTGTGAAACTTTAATGAAGGTTGATTTGACCACTTCTTTGCATCAGGATCATACTAGAACTGCTCCTTTTATTGAAGTCTCAAAATTAAAATATGGCTTCCCAAATCCCAAAAATGGTTATAAATAGCAGAATAATCCAGTGAATAATCCAGAATAATCCAGTGTTGTTTTGAAGTGTCTAGACTCTAGGTGTTTTAGTTTTTGGAATTAGAGCAGATCTCCTGTGACCAAGACCAAAAAAAGGGTGAAAATTGCCCTTTATCACAGTTTCACAAATCTGAAAAAGTTTTCACAAATCCCAAACATGGTGATAAATATTCTCCTTTAAGAGCAGAATAATCCAGTCCAGGTTCTAAGAGTCTAGGTGTTGTAGTTTTTAACTAGATCCAATTAGAGATGCAGAAGGTAGTGAAGAATTAGGTAGAATCGCCCTTGAGCCATTTCTCGTATCAGAAATTAGAATTGGAAACCAACTTCAGCTTAGTCTTTGTGTTAAAATTTCAAGCTGCACCTCCAGTTAAGTAAAATGTAATAATGTATGCTATTTATATCTATTTTCAATTTACTGTCATTTAACAGATATATTCCAGTTTAGCATGTTTGCCATCAGAATAACTAAACATCTGTTTCTGCATATTAAGTGAATACATTATAAACTTTCAGAGTTGACTTTCTGTGTTTTCCAGTTGCTTCCACCGTAGGGTTTGTTTTTAAGATAAGATTAGAGAAGAAATGCCTGACCTAGTTAAATAAAAGTTAGCACTTTCCTAGAAACAGACATTGTCAACAGTAGATAGCTAACTTTGTGCGATCATTTCAAGGTGAAGACAACCTTTGGAGCCTTTTTTATTACTGTATTTGGAAAATTTACAGTATTCCACATACAGAACAATACTCTATGTGGAATACAGTATTCCACTGTAAAGCAACAGATGTTGTACCTAAGCAACTACCTGTATGTATTTCTTATTTTCACTATTATAATGTCACTATACATTTCAATTTAACATAATGATAATATGACCATCAAAGCGATCAGTTTATACTTTGTGAAAGAATTGAAAGCTAACATATGAGCTGTGTTGGTGATTTGTGTCTTTTGTGGTAGCCTTCAACTGTTTTTATTTTGGATTCATTAGGTTTGAATTTTGACCTGATCTCGTTCTCATGGCTCACTTTACTAACTGTAGGAGTACTCAATGTAAGATGAACTCTGAGGACAAGTTGGATGGGATGCTGCTGAAGTGCAGCAGCGGAGGAATCGATGGAGGCGGGAGAGTGTGTCTGGGCGCGGGAGGAGGACTGGTGGTGATGACCCTCGGGGAGCGATCGCTGGCAAACCAGCCTCTTTTGGCTGAGGATGACGATGACGACGATGATGATGAGGACTTGACTGGAAGTTCGCTGGTTACTCACGACCTCGTCCCTCCAGAACAGCTGATGATGCAGGAAGAGCTGACAAAGAATGGTGGAGAAGGATTAGAAGAGGACGGAGGAGGCGAAGTTGGAGTGCATTTCCCCCTAAAACTCACCAATAAGTTGCCGTTTTCACTTCAGATGCCAGTGAGTTAATTTTTTTTATTGGTTTATTTGGGTCGACATTTACTTGTAGATCCCGCTGTATGTTGGAACCAGAAGAGTTGAGTTTTTATGGAAGGGAGAGTGTTTAATATTTCTTAACGGGTGAATATTTCCTAAATTTAGTTTCATTTCTTTGACAGTACAAAGTCCATGATAGTTTATATATGCTGTTAACTAAATTGTATACAGAGTAAATATTATTTTTGTTTGCAACTTCAGAATATAAACCTTTTGACTCATGATTCAAATCCATCTTTTAGATTCTTAAAACAGATAACCCAAATAAAAATGTGAGTGTGGAAATCTGCTTTCAGAATTTCTTATCAAAACATTTTTAGAGACTTAAACTGTTTATTTTATGTTACAAGACAAACTCAATCATTACATCTTCCCATTATTACGCATCTAGAACCGATTTTAAATCAGACAAGAAGAGTTGCAAGAAAGTTTATACTTTAAGACACTTCTTGAGCTGTTATAAATCTTTCAATTTCCTTTACTCTTAGAAGGATGCTATGTGTGTTTCACAGTGTAGCTGCTGTGAAATTATCACTATGTCTTGAAAAATTGCATTGTAATATTGAACAACACTCCCTATGCTCTATTTTGTTGCGCTTCAAAAACTAGCAGCCTCAAAACACGATTCTGTGTTTGCAAAATAACAGTAATTATTTGTCACTAATACACCATTCAATGAAGGTTGGAATGACTAAATTTAAGCTATATGGGGGAATTGTGGTAGCTGTAGTTTTATTACTTAAAATCTGCAACAGGAGTCATTTTTTCCTCACTTCTGCACTCTGTGCTTCAACAAGAGCTCAGTTCAATGAAAATCTTCTGGTTACTCATCTCCACAAAATGTGGAGTTATTTTTCTTATCTTTTCTTTTCTGTATGAAATAATCTGTGGCCAATTTTGTGATGCTTTTTGTCTGCATTCTGGACTCCTTCCCTTAATTCCTCCCCTGCAGTAATGACTGAATAATATTTTCAAACTCAAATATTCCTCCTGCGGAGTTAGCGTTTAGCAGATTAGCAGGAAATTGGAGGCTGTGTTTGACCTTGTAGTTTTATTACCGTATGTGTCCAGAAGCAGTGATACTCCTTCAGTGGGATATCTCTCAACTTGTACATCTTTGGTATGTGTAAGTTTGTTTTGGGAATATGAGGTCAACCATGTATGAGGTAGCATAACGTGAAATGTTTCATTCATAATGCCAAAGAGAACAGGAGTGACCTCTTAAGGCTCACCTTCTTCTCTGCTGCACTGAAGATAAACAAAACATTCTGCAGAAGCTCATAAACTGACTTGAACCTTTGACCAACTTGTGACAGGTCTTCAGCTACTCACAAAATATGCAAATATCCTCCATGGCCAGCTGCCATGTATTTTCTCTTTATGTAGACAGTGACTCCAGGTTGCCCTCTCATCTATAGTGCCTGAGGCTTCTTCGTGTTGAGGTGTCTTTTTCTTTGTTTTGCTCATTTCAACCTGTCAGACCTGTATGAACCACCAGCCTGACTGGTAGCCCATAAAGTAGGTCATGTGCCATAATAAATGTCTTGACTATGTATGGTCTCGCTTTTCCAGCTGAGCATCAAGCAGGAGCTGAAGCTGTCTGACCCTGCAGTCCATATAAAGAAGGACAAAAAGGCAATTAAGGACATGACTGTGTACCCCAAGAAGAAAAAGAGGAAGCAGCGCTCCCCCGCAAAGGTACAAATGAGTTCCCCTCAACAAATGGCTTCAATTTAGTTAGATTTTTATTGTTGAATGTTTGAATGAAAATAAAATATCTCTTCTCTGATCTTTTCGCTATTGTAGATCCTCGGCATGAATGATGATGGATCTGTGGCTATACCTAACCCAAAGTGTCATGTTTGTGTTCACTGCAATGCTGCATTCAGAACCAATTACCATTTACAGAGACATGTCTTCATTCATACGGGTACAAATGACTTTTACTTAATATTTCTTTAAAGTCACACATTGTTATTCAGTGAAACCCTAACAGTCATGGTAGAGATTTGGAACTTCTGGCATACCAGCAGCTGAAACGTGTCTTGTTTTGGAATGGTTTTAAAGTGACTGGTTAGCTTTTCAGATAGTTTTTTTTCTTTTTAATCTATTTACAATAATCATCAAGCATCATTTTCTTTTGTGGATATTCACAAACCTATGGCTCGCCTTTACTATTTGCACTGGAACCTTTTTAATAACACAGTGCTGACAGCAGATCAGGCATGAGCTAAGGTTTCAGATTGCTGCCTCCTTCTTATGATAAGCAATCATTTAGCAGTGCATGACATCCTGTTAACTCATCCTCAACTTAAAAATGGTTAAACTCATGGGGGCGCTACATGGCTCAGTGATAGATCTGCATGTCTTTTCCTTCCCTCTCCTTCTTCCTGTCCGGCTACTAATGAATAAGATGCTGTGAAATCATTTGAAAGAGTCAAACACCACCATTTTGCTCTGTGATTTTAAAATTTCAAATCAATTCAGGAATTGGGTGGATAGTGTTTCACACGTAAGTTCAAACGTACTTCATTCATTGTGTCACTATTTATATGATTTTTGTTCCTAAATCCATAGGTGAGAAGCCATTTCAGTGCAGCCAGTGTGACATGCGTTTCATTCAGAAGTATCTACTGCAGAGACACGAGAAGATCCACACTGGTGAGCAACAGATTGTTAAAATAAACATTGATCAGGATTCTATCTTCCCTCGGACATCACCTTTTTTATATTTTTTCAGGTGAGAAGCCTTTCCGCTGTGATGAGTGTGGGATGAGGTTTATCCAGAAGTATCACATGGAGAGACATAAGAGAACTCACAGTGGAGAGAAACCCTACCAGTGTGACTACTGTCACCAGGTACAATCCTGCTGTGTGAATGAAAATGAATTAATTTTAAACAGAGTGAAGTTGTACATTTATCTATAGACAAAGTCCAAAGCTGGAGTTCAGTATTTCCTACCTGGGTTCTTGATTATTTTTCCAAACATGAGATGGACCTTAAAGATGCAAATCAGGTTTTTTATATTGATTTTCATGCAAATAAAATTCTTGGTCATTGATTAGTCACATCAGAACTTGAGTTCTGTCTCCCAACTAATTGATAGTTGAAGTTTTTGAGTTTGCTGTCAGAACTCTTGACATGACTATATAGTCATTAAAGACAACTGAGGGCGTTCTGTTCTTCTTTTGGCCCACAGACCCTCTTAGATAGGGATTTTTAACTGGACTTGTGGGTTTTAACTTTAGTCTAATTCCGTCATTTTATCATATTTTCTTTGTTTCCAAACTACATGAAGGAATCACAAATAAGTGCCATTTTTAGAAGCCTACTTATCTTAGAATAGTCTAGTAAAATTAAAAACAATAAATGTGTTGTCTTTAAGCACTTAATACATTACATTTTGGTATATTTGTAAAAACAGTGTTTGTACTGCAACAGCATAAACTTTATTTTTTTTTAATCTTACTTAAATTTATTTTACTGTTTTCTGTCCACAGTACTTCTCCAGAACAGACCGAGTTTTAAAACACAGACGAATGTGTCATGAAAACAGAGAGAGGAAAACAAACAAGACCGCTGGTAAAATCGGACCTTTGCATGACACAGATTCTTCAGAGTCTCCCTTCCTTTCCAAAGAGTGCTCTCTACCTAAGAAAAAGCGCCAAAAATGTTCAGAAAAGAGTTCAGGCTCTTGCATCACGGTCCTGACAGAAGGGCACAGTTTTGCTGTCGAAGAAACAGAAGCGAAGGAAGGGCAGAGTCGGGATAAAATCGAAACTCCATGTATATTTGCTGTATCATCCAAGGTCAAACATGAATATGTCATTCCTGACTACTCGGTGGAACTTCCTGAGGAAACAGCCAGCCAACATGAAAATGACGACGTATCATTAGAGGACACAACCCCTCCAAAAATAGTCCTGAAGAAAGTCCCCAAGAGGAGCCTTAAACAGCCCAGTGAGCAAACCCCTCCCTGCTTGTCTTCCTCACTGTCCTCATATGATGAAGCTGATAAGGTAGCGCAGTACACCTTTGAAATTGTGGAGAAGCAGGGCCTTTTAGACGTCGAGAACAACGCTGACCTGGAATCTGTCGAAACTCTTCAAGGAGGAACGACTAAACCGGCGGCAAGTAGCACAAACTATGACGACGCCATGCAGTTTCTCAAAAAGAAGCGTTACCTTCACGCTGCAATGGCCAACAACAGCCGGGACTACGGGCTCAACACAAGCGGCATGTCCTCTCAGCCATCTGTTACGCAAACCGTAGTGTCGACGGTCATCGATGAAACTGTCCCCGCCACCATCCTGGAGCCCCAGCCCATCAACGCAGAGATAAAGGCAGCTCATGAGAAAAACGTTTTCCCTGATGAGGTTCTTCAAACACTGCTGGAGCACTACTCTACCAAAGCTAATGGGCAATCAGACATTTCCTTCAGTGTTGCTGATACAGAAGTGACTTCGAGCATATCTATAAACTCCTCCGATGTTTCGGGCAGTAGCCCCGTAGAGAGCATTGGATCCTCTGGCGCCCAGGCTCAACCGCCTACAGAGAAGGTCAGCCTCCTGCAGGAATACTCCAAATTTCTCCAACAGGCTCTGGAGAGGACCAGTCAGAACGACAGCTACTTAACGAGTCAGAGCCTCAGCTTGGTCTCTGAAAACCCCACGTTAGCCGGACAACCTTTGTTCTCTAATGAGAAACAGTTCTCCTCACCCAGCAGGTTCAAATCAGGGATGAGCTCTCCGTTGAGGTCCACTTTGGAAAAGCCTCACTTCGCATTATTGGTTGGAGACTCCCAGCACTCGTTTTCATTTTCAGGTGATGAGACGACTCCGCCCTCGGCGGTGTCTCCAGCTGATGAGGACTTCCTGGAGCAGGTCTCTCCCTCGAAGAAGTCTGACTCTACGCAGGGGATACTGCAGACGTTCCAGATCAACTCCTTTGATCAGAACTTCAAGTCACATTTCCAGGCGTCGAGATCCGCTTCGTCCTCGCAGTTCACGGTCACCAACGGACAAGTAAGCATCAGAGGACATGGCGCGGACTTTTCCGAGTTCCCTTTAGTTCGAGTCACTGAGACCAGGGTTCAATTGAACTCATCCCCTGATGTTTCAACCAGCGAATCTTTTGGCTGAAGGAAAAAACAGGGAAAAAATTTAATTTTAGCAGCACTTTATTTCATCTGTCTTGTTTTGCCAAAACTATTCACAACACAATCACGTTTTCTTAAAGCGGTTTGAAAAATAGTCATATTTTGTTAGTACTCAAACCTCTCATAAGATACTACTAATAATAATAATAACTCATGAAATCATACTACGATATGAAAAGCATTTCTCTGTTGGAATCAAAGCGGTTCTTGTTCTGGAATGTACACTAGGAGGTTACGTGACCAAAGTGTAATTATTCTGATATCTTTGCCGCCAGAGAGTTTATGTTTAATGGGAGTGTCGGTTTGCCTTGCTCGAAAAATAATCAACTCACTCTTGCTGCTTAATGCAATATTTCCACTTTTTACACACCAATCAGCCATTAAATTATGACTTCCAAACAGCAGATCTTTGATGCACCATTGATTGTTGGGTGTTTTTTGTGGACCCTGTCCTGGATACCTCAGATCGCTTGTCTTCTTCTGGTGGAGGGCTATTTAGCAACACACTGGTGCAACTCAATATTGTTAAAATTATAGCTGAAAAGTTAATTGATTTCTGTAATTCAGTTCAAGAACTAAAACTCAAAAGTAAATCATTTGTGACTGAAGAATTTTAGGCGTTTATTTCTGTGTAGATATAATTATGGCTTACACTTCATGAAAATGAAAACTTGAGCTGAAATCCAATATTTACATTGCTGTTATGACCAATAGCCAATTTGGCCCAGCTTTATTTATCAAACCGATACCGATGTGGCAGGAATGGCTAATGTTGACTCATACTGATGTTTCTGCTGATTTATCATGAATTAATAATAATTTTGCCTGATTTACTGTTTCAATATGGCAGCACCACTGGTCTTGCCTTATGATTTTCTTTTGACTGCACTTATCCCTTTAGCCTGTGAACGTTGTTCTACTAATCTTTTTCTTCCACTCAACTTTCAGATGAACTGAATTACTTAAATAAATTAACTTCTAAATTATCTCCTAATTTACTGAGATGTGCCTGTGTTTTACTGTAAGTAGATGTATGCTGTTACCCATGTAAGCTTTTGGAGTACATAATATTATGGCTGATTGCTGTATAGCTGTAATAAATGTATGCCTCTTGTTTTCTTTCTTACCTACCTCCCCTTGGTTTTTGTCAAAAAAAAAATCTTTATTCTAGCTCTTGAAATAATCACAACAGCACAATCATTCTTTATGTTTAAGTCACTTTATTCTCACCTATCATGGATGTGTGTAACTAATGGTACAGGACTGATTGTATGCTTGTGACCTATTTCATTTCCTGTTTAAAATTAAGTCCGATTTGGTTGGTTTGAAATCCAAATGTAAAAATTCTGGTGAAATTTGAGGAGCTCTTAGGTCATATGAATTTTTTCAGACCGTATAACAAAAAAACTAATCTTGATTAAAAAAGCTTTTGTCTCAGTTTAAAAAAATGATTTGAGCTTCACAGAGCTGCACCCATAAAAATGGTTGCAGGATAATCCTGATGTAGGTTTCAAACTAGTTTCAGTTGGTATTAAATTACTTTAGGTTTGTGCTTGGTCTATGGTCTGTTTGCACATTCTTTCTACAAGGAATGTAGGATGTACAGTCACTGTCAACAGCTACCTTTAATGAAACATAACGAAAACATTCGCCACGTTTAGTTGATCAAATATATTATTCTCTTTGTGTCACTTAAAAAACTATAGGTGTTGTTTAGCATTGTGTTGAAGTAAATCGGGGTTTTGGGATTTGGCAATTTTCTTGTACTAAACATGTTATACAGCTCAAGCAGACATGATTTGCTTGGTGTTATGTTTTGTTCTGTGCCTTTCTGTTCCTTTTTTTAGCACTTCTTTTTACTCATTCCTGCAAAACTTATTTTTTGTCTCTTCACTCAGCCTATGCTGTAAGGCTGCAAATTTCTCTTGCACAATATTCGTAAATACATAAGCTATCAATTTGTTTATTTTTTACTGTAATTATGATGAACTTGGAGCTTTATTTAATTTTGCCTTTTATGTTTTGTTGCTAAAGGAAACTGAATTTAGTGTGTCTCAAACTATTGACAAGAAAATGCATTTTATTCACTGTTTTTGTAGATTTTATTGGTTCCACAGGTTTAGCTAGAAATCAGTCTTTCAGGTCTTATTGAAAACATGCAATTACAAATGGGTGACTTATTATGAGCGTGATCCCTTATGTATTCAATCATGCTGTTAATTGTACATAAATGTGTTTTCTTGATCAGCTGTATGTGCTCCATCCAGTTTGCGATGGTTTTAAAACTCCCTCTTGTTACATTTTCACTGACAATCAGGGACAGATGGCGCCACGTTAGTCATTCAATTCTTTTTTTTTTTTTTTTGGCCATTTCAGTTGATTTCTTCAAGAATGTATAGAAAATATCCTGTTGTAAATATGTGGTGTATATTTTTATGTTCTTCAAAGTAACGTTTATGAAAAAGGAGAAAAGGTGCAAGAGACACTTTTTGTCAGTGGAAGGCATTGTTAGTTTTCAAGCATTTCATGGATACTGCAATAAGATGGATGCACTGCCACAGTCAAATAACAATACTACAAAATTGTTTGTAGTTGAGAGAGACTTCCTAAAAGTTGTGCTCAACGTCAGATAGTCAACCTGAGCAGTTAAAGTAGTTTTAGGCTGGATAATGACTGAAAGCTTGAGGCAGTTTTTAGTTCTTCACAAGTTACCAGTTTAGTTGTAAGCAATCCTCAAAAGCACAGTGCAGATGGGTTCAACTCAGTAAATTCAATCCTGTTCTGCTTTTGGAAAGTTCCAGTCCTTGCCATTCATTTCCTCCATCATCAACAATAAAGTTTAGGTTTCTTTCCCTTTTGTCTACCTATGTCTGTCTTCTGGCCATAAGTGTCCTTGTATAAGCTAGAAAAAATGTGTTTTGTGTAAAAAGATCTGTATTATAGATTTTTTTATAAATAATATTTTTGAAACATGTCATCTAAAGCACTGATGTGTAAATGATACACTCTTGCTACCATCCTTTAGCTCTTCACTAGTTCCTGTTGAAACCTTTTCGATTACAAAATGGGAATCCAAACATTAGCATTTTTTACTTTTTTGAAAATAATTGGACAGAGCAACTTCCTGCTTCCCTTTAGGGTTAATGAGACATTAGCTTAATTTGCATGGCTGTTGGGTTGGATGAATTTTTCTTTTCATATAATGTGCAGCTTTAATTGTAACTAATTAATCAGTCAAGTTAACCCAGTTAAATTAGAACTTTGCTAAATATCATGATTTGTAGGCAAACTGATTAAATTGTTTTGATTGTTGTGTGTATTGTCCTTATGAATAAAATTATTCACATAGTGTGACTGTGAAGAATTGTTTAATATTGCTGATGAAAAGGTTTGTTAAAATGCGTTTTCACATCCATTGTCTGTACTCAGTTGTGCGTGGGAGGGTTGGTTCTCATGAGGTGAATGGTGGGATAAAGTGTTTATTTTTTTCTGTTTTTTCCCCCCCCAGTGGAACTTTAAGCATACAAAATAAAAATCCTGGTTTTAAAGTTATGAAGAAATTTTCTTCTATAAATGTATTAATTGGTAAGTTTCCTGTTTTTAAATTGTAAAAGGTATGACTTACAGGAACACAAACACAGCAACCCTTGTAGGATGGATGTGGATGTGAGGATAATACAAACTGCTTTCAGGCTAGGTTGCCTCATTCTTAACTTTAGATTCCCTTTCTGTTGGGTAAACATTTTTATTTAAGATTTGGTTGTTGGCTTGATTTATGCCACATTAAAAAAGGGGTATGTTAAAGCTATAGCCATACTTCTCTGTATACCCTTTGTAAAAGTCACTTTAGAAATCAGCTGAAATAAATGAGAACATGCCATGGTCAGTATTTTGTTTTGCTCTTTAGTTGTAAAATGTTTAACTTAAATAACCGATAGAAAAGTGGACATCACATAAGGCAGCGGATCAAAAGTATTTAAGTATATTAAAGTAAGTATACTTAAGCACTTAAAATATTTAAGTACTCTTTTTTTAAGCACTATTCTATTTTTATTCATTTTTTAAAAATCAAATTTCACTTTCAGAAGTACTTATTTTTTTGCTATCCATTTTTTTTTTGCTATGGCTGCATGTAAACCTTTACATGTGAGAATAATTCTCAGTCGCCAAACAGTTTGCTTTGTAACAAATGTATTTTGTACATTTAGAAAACTTGACACAGAAATCTAAGCTTTATGTCACACATGTCTTTGAGAAAACACGACCAATGCCTTTAAATAAATGAAATGTTTTTTTTTTTTTTTTCGACCTTCAATATCTGGGCTTATTGCCAAGACTAACACAGGATCCAAAAAGTTTCCAACACGCCCTAGAAAGGTAAGCAGAGGCAGGGAGATGGTTCACCTGCTGACGTTTTCACACGTTGCATGTCTGCTGGCTGGGTTTGTGTTCAGGATTTTCATTTGGATTTTTTCCCTTTTTTTCGAGTAATCGACTGGAAATGTGAAAGGTAATATCCGTATTGAACACTGAGGAAAATGCAAGAGACTCGAAAATATTCAAAAACTACATTAGATTTAACATACAAGGTAAACAAATACGAACCCTATTAGGGTTTTATTTTTCGCATTATGTAAATATTTTAAATGTAAGTTTTTGTGAGAACAGTTTTTTTTTTTTTTTTTACCTGCTTAAATTTTGAGCTCAGAGGGCGAAACTACTGAAACAAAACTGCTGGTCTTCGCTGACGTCCAGGGAATACCGTGACTGTGTCAGAGCACACACAGCAGCATCCGGGTCACCTCCTGCTGCACCTGTTGCTGTTTGACAGGGAAAGGCTGCGGCACCGGTTGCCTCCTGTCAGCTTCCACGCAGACTGGCTTCAAACACGCATATGTTTGGACGAGACAAGGAAGCAAGAGAAAAACACGAGGCCTGCGTTTCATGTCAGTCAAGGAGCTTTTCAGATGGCAATGGAGACGCTGCCAGTCGGCTGGCATGTGCACACCTGGGGCCAGGAGGCCCATGGGACCAAGCTGCTGAAGGAGGGATCTGCTGACACCAAAACAAACACACATGTTCACGATCTGTTTCATGAAGATGCACAGGTATTTTTCTTTCTTTTTTTTTTATCAGCTCAATATTTTAAGAATGTATGATTTCCAGAATAAGAATACCCCTTGAACTTCGTGTTATAGTCATTATGAGCCTCTTGACTGCTTTCGTACCTACAGCCTCTTCTCAAGAGGTTTGCAGTCATACTGGCTACAAATTCATGTCATACCTTTTTTACAAAAAACATTTGAAAACGATGTGTATTCTCTTGTATTTTCCAGCTACAGTATTGTGTTGGTCTGTTACACAAATCAGAACAAGATGCATTGAAGTTTTGTTGTCTTAACTTGCAAAATTGTGATCAAGTTCAAGTGGTGTTGAAGTTTTGCTGGGCATTACAGTAAAATTTGCTGTTTGTGGTTTTCAGAGATGGATTTCAGTTAAAATCTGAGAACCAGAAGAGGGGGTCAGTTTTCAAAGCAAATGCTTTGGGAGACAGACGTTTCCAAAGCTTCATAAATGAACTGTTTTTAATGTGCAGCGTTTCCACCAGCCCAGCCAGCCGTGGTGGAGGATCAAGCTGTTCGTGTGGGAGCCGGTGCTTTTTGGGACCTGGGATGGCGTTTTCACCACCTGCATGATTAATATCTTTGGGGTGGTTCTGTTTCTGCGCACCGGATACCTGGTGGTAAGTGCGTAACGGTTGCAGCATATCAAGATGAAAACCGAATTTCCGCAGCAGTTTCAAAAACAATGTTGATCAAAGGGATTTGTAAGGTAGTTGAAAACAGGAAAAAAGGGGTCAGTCATTTGAAGAAGAATTGTAATTGTTCAAGGCCAAAGTAAAGGGCATTACAATGATCCTACCTCCTCAAGGTGATGTCCAGCTCTGGTTTTGATGAGGGAACAGCATTATGTCATGATATAAGGTTAAATAAGGAACATTTTACATCATACCCTCTTTTACAACAAAGTGGGACCAAAAATGGAGCCTTCAGGTACCCCTCAACAAATAGGTACTGATGAAGAGAAGTACTCCAGAGTATATCCAGAGACAGACAACAAAACACTCCGAGCAAAAGAATGTTGTGTTCAACTGTGCTAAAGGCTGCTGTCAGATTTATTAGGACCTTAAGTGAACAGTTTAACTGAAATTAATAAAACATCTTAAAAAAATGGCTACATCAGTATGGTGAACTTAAAATCAGTGTCAATTAATGTTGATTAAAAAAACAATCCTTTGCAAGTTCTTGAACATAAAAGGCAGTCAACATATAGGACTGTATGTAGACTGAATACTTTGATTAAACTATCTCAGCATGTTTAAAAGCAGCTGGCTGGCAATGCAGTGTTTTGTAGCAAAATTTGCAACTTGCCAAGAGATATTACAATTGTAAATGCAAAGATTACTGTTTACATTTGTAGACACGTTGACTTTTAACACCTACATGCTTGTTGATCTCGTCTGACAGCTCAGATGTAGTTTTCTAGCTAGAAGACAATGTTTCTTGTTGAGAATGACATGCATCTTACCAGACAGAAATGACATGGCTACTTATGTCAGGGGAAACTTTTGTTGCTAAGCATGACTGATGGCTCAGCACTTGCTCACCATGTCCTGCTTGCAGGTTTTTTCTATAAGAGCTGCAAAGATATAAAATCTAGCTAAGGAATAGAGAAATACTGAATGATCTGTTTCCTTCGTTCTAATGCCAGGTCCGTTTCTGCTGACAAATTCCAACATGCAATTTCTAAACAATCAGTTATTGCTAAATTTGATGTAACTTTGCAAACAAACAATGTTGAACATTGAAAGAGTAAAAAAAAACTTTGAATAAAACATTTTAGTTCAAAATGACATGCATGCTGTATGTTGTGATGTCTAACTACATCATCAGGGTAACACTGGCGTGCTGTTGGGGTTGCTCCTCGTCTCCGTGGTGGTTTTGGTCGCTTTAGTGACAGTGATGTCAGGGATCGGAGTGGGCGAACACTGTGGGGTTGGGAGCGGAGGAGTCTACTCCATGATCTCCAACGTGTTGGGAGGCAGAATCGGAGGTACTGTTGGCCTCCTCTACGTGTTTGGACAGGTGAGTTCAAACCGCGCTCCCTTCTTTAATATAACTTGAAGATTCTTTAGGGTGACTGCTCTCCTGCTGCCTTCTTCTCCGCAGTGTGTTGCCGGCGCCATGTACCTCACGGGCTTCTCCGAGTCCGTGGCAGAGCTTTTGGGTCTGCAGAGCCAGTGGGCGGTGCGCTGCATGTCAGCGGCTGTCCTCCTAGCGTTGCTTGGGATCAATCTGGCAGGTGTGAAGTGGATCGTCAGACTGCAGCTGCTGCTGCTGGCTTTGTTGGCAATCTCCACTCTGGACTTTGTTATTGGCACCTACACACACCTCGATCCAGGTACGGCTCAGTGGTTGTGACTGTTTTGTTTTTTTTTTTAAAGTGCTTGTTTTTTAAAATGAAAGGAAAAGAAGCAGCTGGGCAGAGTGGATGGGACAGGATCTACCTACATAAATGCATAAAAATCCGGGAGGAAATACTTAACTGTGATGGCAAAAGTTCATCTTCCAGCAGGATAATTACTAAACATTCAGCAGGAGATGCGGTGAAATTCATTAGACCTTAGCGGATTTATGTGTTTGAAGGGTTTATTCCAAGTCCAGTTGTGAAGCAACTCAGAATCTCTGTCAGAATCCATTCTGTGATTTTGCTTCTTTTTGCGTATGTAAAACAAAAAAGCATTTATTCTTTCCCTTCTACTTCAAAAATATGAATTTCTTTGAGTTTCTATGTTACCGCCTGCTGTAACTGCTTGTTTCTTTTATTATGTGAAGTAACTGATGAGAATCAACTCATCCATGTTGATAGCTATAAGCTATAAAACAAACAGAATACAAAGCCAAGAAACACTTAATGTAAAATTTCTAGATTAAACAAATTTCAGTCTCATTTGACTTTTAAAATTTTACGCACTGTAGGAACAGATGCATTCAATTAAACAGATGACATCAATCATAGACGTTAAACTGGTGAATTGTTAGTAGTTGTTAAAATGTAACCTGATTTAAGTTAGTTTAAGTGAAATTTATTCGTTTTTTTATTTATATTTTTTGCTTTGTAGGAGAACACCCCAAAATGATTGAAACATTTGTTTCATTCAGTTATCCAGTAAAAAGTCCTGTTCTCATGGTGTTTTCAGGCCAGTAGGTGGTGCTCCAATGTTATTTTTTGCAATTGATTGTGTCCCATTGAAATGTTTATTATTATTATTATTTATTTATGAACTCTTTTCTCCCGCTTCTGTCAAGAACAAAGTAAAGTTGGACTTTATTATTTCTTTATTTTTTCGTTATGTTGAGACTCTGACGTTAGGAGTTTTCTTTAGTTGACTGGATTGTTTCCTTTTGTTGGCCTGCAGGAAGTCCTACCCTACATTTCCTGTTCTCAGTGGTTATCAACTTCCTTTGCAGTGGGAAGAGAAATCTGCTCTAAAATTCAAAACAGTGACTGAAGAACACTCCCCCTCCCACCTAAACACAAATTTATGACACTATGTAGTCAGTAGATGTCAGTCTGTGCAAAACTCCTTTTTATTCTCCCATTGAAGCTTGATACTTTCCTGCTATCGGTGGCCTCTTGACCCTTTTGTTTGTTTTATAACACGATTAGTAGAGACCATATTGCAGCTGTGAAGAACCGTGGGAGAACCAGCCACAGCTGCTACTCCAGGTTGTTCCAATTAAAATGCTGCTTTGTGTGTAGTAATGATGATTTCATCATTGGCAGAGGACCAACAGGTCCCCTAGCAAAGTGAAACGGCCCAGATTAGTTTAAACTCAGTGAACGCTGGAGCACATCCTGAAGGAAGTGGGAGCCACCGGTGAAATGATGTGGTCATGGTTTGATAACATGTCCGCTTGGCAAGTTCTCCTGTTAAGGCAGTTGCAAAAAAAAAAAAAAAAAACCTCATAGGCCGCCACTATACAGGAGGCAGGTTATGTAAACCAAATTTTGTGCCATGCAAATATTTCACTTTTTAATTAAATTAAAGTAAATGTTAGTATTTTCAAGTTCTGACATGATATTAAGAACTTGGTGGTTTTCAAAAGTATTCCAAGCCCTTAAGCATTTTGCCGCACCTCATTATTTTACGGGCGAATTAAATTACAGACCAACACAAAGAAGCACAGAATTGCGAAGTGGAAATAACATAAAACATGGTTTAGAAACAAAAAAAAATTGAAAGCTGTGACATGCATTTGTATTTGATTCCATTTATTGCAGATAAATGGGCTGGGTCTTTTGGGATATTTATTCTTGTTTCACACATTTTGACCCTGAACTATTTGTCCAAAGCTCTTTGCAAAATAGTTTAGCTCAGTTAGAATAACTCATGGGTGTTTCTGACCAACGATGTTTAATTCTTGCTACAGTTACAATGTTGGACGTAGATCAGGACATTAATAGTCAAAGTCCTTAGATCAGACTCACACATACTTGCACATCAATATGTTTTGATCTAATCATTTCACTGAAACTCTGGTTACATATTTAAGGATTCAAGTCTTTTGCAGCCTCTTAATTGTTCCTTCAGCTTTTCCCTGCTTCAAGCACTGCTGTTATTGACTTGCCATTATTGACTGTGTGAATCTTCACTCAGTCTTGAGTTTTCATTGCAGTTTTTGTCAAATCTGCACATTTTATTTGGTCATATTGCTGTTTTAAGGAGGCTTAAAACATATCCATGCCACATTTGTTAATTTTAGTGATTTATTTGCAAGAAAGTTTAAAAACATAAGTCATTTTTATTTTCCTTTACAAAGATGTACTTCTTTGTGTTGGTCTATTCTGTAAAATCTCAATAAAATACAACAAAGTCTTTAGCTGTAAGGTGACAAAGTTGCTCACTGTGTGAAAACATACTTTTCAAGGCTTCATCATTTTTTCCTTTAATTGATTAGCTTCTGCCTAAATAGCAACAAATAGTCAATTGTTGGCTGTTTCAGTTGGATCTACAGTATTGGTTTAATATATTATTAAAGCTATGAAAATGTTTGGTTTTTTTATATTTTCACTTTCTGATAGGACCCAAATTTAATGCCATTGTTTATTACACTGCATCGATGCTTTGTCATTTACAAAGTCAGAGCAAACAGGTGGAGTTGAACATGAAATCTCTCTGAAATGTGAGGGCTTATAATTATTTAGTCATATAAAAGATTGTGGGGGAATTCATTTTCCTCTTTAAGTGCAGTAAATTACTAGAATTTAGTCAATAAAGCTGCCAGTGTATTGTCTCTGTGACCAATCATCTCAACCACAAACTCCTCTGACTGTGATCCAGAGATGAATTACAGCTCAACACGCCTCACCCTGTCCCAGTTGAAGCCTTTTCTCCCTGCAGAGCAGGAAGCCGTAATGGGCTCCTTGGGTCTGGGGTTGAGGGTGTTAACCAGACTCACCCACATTTTTGGAAGATGAGAAACGGAGATGGACGGCACAGAGATCTAAAGGGTCTACTAACCCCAGGGACCACCACATTTTTTTTTCCCCTTTATTGTTTTGTGGTCCAAACTGTAATATATGGTTTTCAGTCGTCCCTCTGGGTCCTGCTCCACCTTGGTATAACAACAGCCTGCTGTGCGCAGTCCATACTTGTTAGGGTGGGAGAGTAGGAGGTCAGTTCAGCAGTGGGAGAGGGCTTGGATGCTCATGTAATCCGACTACGCATTCCAGTGTGCATCAGAGGAATGCTGCACTCGGTGAAGAACCCCACACATATGCTTGTTACAGAAAAAGTGGAACTTCATTAGATTTGACTTTAAAATATGGCTGATAACTTAAAATATTAAAAGCAAAAGCACTCTCTCTCTTCATCCATCTGATATCTATGTCAAGTTCATCAGAAAACCAAACGAAAACTTATGAAAGAGGGCTTCTGATTTGGTCAGGGGTGAAATGTTGAACACACTGAGGGAAAGAAGCAGGTAAACATGTAGAAGGACTTCCTGATAAAGTACCTGTACAGTTGAGGCAAATGAGAACATGGCTACATCACAGTTCCACATATAGGGTTTGTTTTTCACAGTTTTTTTCTAGGCAATATAACTTGGGTTCATCTAAAAATAAATAAATAAATAAATAAATAAATGAATAAATATTGTTAAAAATAATTTGTTACTCTTTTCAGACAGTGTTTCATTAGAGACAAAGTGAAAGGTATTAAGCTTTCCTTTCTTGCAATTTGATGATCATGAATGATGGACAATAAAAACCTAAAATTAAGTCTTGAAGAAAATTTTTACATTTGGAAAAAATAAATATTAGAAATTCATAATGTCATAGCTTGATTGGCCTGCATTAATGCAGCAGTTCCTGCAAAAGGAAGCCCAACCCAGCAAATGAACATACTTTTCAGAAGACTGACATTTCTGTTTTTAAATATCCTTTATTGATTTTAGGTGACATTTTAATTCCCTCAGTCACAGAATTTTTAGTTGTCATTTTCTGCAAGCTGTTGTGATTTTCGCCTGATATCCTTTCGTGTTAAATAAAATTGAGCAAGTTTTCCAACAAACACCTCACCTGGCACTGTGTTTCTAAGGTGATAGAATATGAACTTGTGAACACCCTTCAAACAGAGTTCAGTTGTCAGACCAGGCGTCGTCAGACTCTCTTGGATATTGGAGTTGGATGTTGTAATATGGGTGGGGAAGTCTTGTTGTAGACACAGTGGATTTGTTAGGTCCTGATTGTTTAGACATGGTGATCTCAGTGGGGCACAGAGTGAGCAAGAGTTCAACGCTCCTTAAATACATCTCATCGGGATCACGAGTCCTTGAAACAAAGGAGAAAAAGCACGCTCACTCCCTCTCTCGCTAACTTTGATTCTTTTTCCAAAACTTGGAAGCTGCTAAGCTTCTGAAAAGGGTGGCGACTTCCTTTAGGATAAACATGTCATTAATCTGAGAAAACACATTCTTTCCCATCGCAAGATAACCAAAGGGGGGAAATGTCCGGTGTTGTAATGCAGGCAGGTTCTCCAGGCAGTGGGGTTTCAACGGGCCCCCACCAGTGCAGAATGACCTTCAGTCACTCCTTTGACAAACCAGTCCAGACTGAACTGACCCACCCTGCCTGCAAAGGGCTGCAATACCTGCTGTTGCCATTTAGTTTGACCACTCCTGATTCATTCACTCACATTAGACCAAATGGCATCTGTGTTTCATGGAACTAAACACGCTGTGCAGTTGTGATGCAAAATCTTTGAAATAAATACTTTAAAGACTGTTATAGAATAACAGGAAGACTTGAAATTGATTTCCAAAAAGAATTAGGATTTGGGGCGAAATGTGACTAAAATGTGTTTATATATTTGCTGTCTCTTGTCTGTAACCAAAGCAGCCTTTCCACTGGGGTTCACTAGACCCCTGAAGATGTGCTGTAAGCAGCAGATCCTTTGAGTCCTGCAAGCTGCAGGGTGGGCCTCTATGAAATCTGACATATTTCTGCAGCATATCCCACAGACACTCTATTGGAGGACAATCTTTAGACACCTCAAACTCATTATTGTTCTTTTCCCACCATTCAAGATACATTTTTCATCCTAATAAAGGATGCACATGGGTCTCAAATACATTTGAAATTTTATTTTTTATTTGTTTGCAAGCAAGGGAATGCTTTTAAGCATCTCCAGTTGTGTTTTTTGTTTCTTTCAGAGCATGGCTTCGTGGGTTACTCAGCCAAGCTTCTCAGTAGTAACACCATACCGGATTATAGCCCTGGAGAAAACTTCTTCACAGTATTTGGGGTCTTCTTCCCTGCTGCTACAGGTGTGTGCTCTTCTACCCTTCCTGCCTTCTTTTAGATAACAAGATTCATTTATCACACAAAGTATGTCAACAACTACTCTCCCCGTTTGTGTTTTTTTTTTAGCTACACACTCCATGACTCTAACATTTTGCATGTTTTTTTTTTTTGTGTGTGTGTGTGCTGTGTGTGTTCATGCTTAGGGGTCATGGCAGGATTCAACATGAGCTCAGACCTGCAGCGGCCAGAGCACAACATCCCAGTGGGAACCCTAGCAGCTGTTTTTACTTCGTACGGCAGCAGCTGAATTCACCCTCCCGAAAAAATAAGATACACAAAAACACAGTAGATTTATCATTTAGCTGTCCAGACTGTGAATTCACACAAGTTGAAATATTGTCAAAAAGTTTATATAGTTCATATTGATGACGCACAGAGTAATATATTTCAGGTGTTTGTGTTCATTTTAATAATTGGGATTTAAAGCTTATGGAAATCCATAATTACACGAGATCAGCAAATGTTTTAATGCAGAAATATTTTGACTTGACTACGTTTTGTGTTTTTAAGAGACACCACACAGCTGAAACCTCCAAGCCATGAAGCTCAGCTGACGAGTTCTTTTTGTAAAATAATTTCTAGACTACAGACATAGTCCTAATTTCAGAAGAAAGTAGATTTTGCGTTTCTTTTGTAAAGCCTATGGAAAAGTGGAGAGGCACAGAATTCAAGTTGATTGAACTTTTGTTCTGGAGGTCCATATTAAAGCAACCTGGGCTTCCTTAACTCTCCAGGAGTAGCTCTGGTTGATCAACATTCTTCACTACATTGATGGTTTAATACATCCAAAATGAACTGAAACTATTACTTGAAACTGACTGTGTGTGTAATGAAGTTGTGAGAGGCACATTTTGAGTTGAATCGATACAGTAAATGTGTTTTTTTTAATGATATTCTAATTCATAAAGATATGCTTTTACATCTAACAGGATGATAACAGTTGTTGTCCACAAGGGGAATTTACAAAACCACATATGTTACTTTCCCTGCCTCCTGTGGTGCTTTTGTAAAAGGTCAAACCTTTCCTGTTTCAGTGGAGAGAACAAGCAAACCTACATTCCTGGCACTAACCCATCAGATATATAGTGACATTATTCTGACTGACTTTTTGTATTAATATGGAGAGGAGCTGTTGTTTATAATTTGCTGTGGTGTACTGTCTGTGACCTGCAGGTGGTTCCTGTATCTGGTCTTTGTCTTCCTCCTGGGGGCCATTTGCACCAGAGAAGCTCTCCGCTGTGACTTCTTGATAGCAGAGAAGGTAAACTCCTCTCTGTTTCCATCCAGCCATGTAACACAGGCCTTCCAGCTGAGGAGGCATGGTTTGGGGATTTCCCACCATGGCTCAGTTTGTTGACATGTTGTGGTTGGTTCAGCCTCTGACGGTGTGTACTGTAGAAATACTTGGAGTTTCTGAAAAACATATTCCAATTCTATGATGGGAAAATATTCACATTTTACCATTTTCTGTATTGCCAGTGATTTTTTTTTTTTTTTTTTTTTTTGGACTGGTATCTCTCAACTGGAGGCTTCAAAGAACCCATAGAAGTTGTAACACTCAGCTAACTCACAAACTAGCACAGCATTCTCTAAATTTCTTTTCATTTGTGTAATTTCTTCTCAGTATAAATAAAACTGTTCAGCCTCTGCTCCTTGAAGGCCCACAGATAACTTGTAGCTGAATCTGCAGCAGTAGTTTGGACTGCAAATCATTGATTCAAGGAGGTTATATAATTCACATCACACTTTGTATATTGTTATTGGTGAAGCTGTTTAAAAACCATCAATAATTTTCCTCACATTTTACTTTCCAGTAGTATTTTGTGGTGGTCTGTAATGCAAAATTCCCATAAAATACATAGAATTTTGTGCATGACGTGAACATTTTTATGGTGAAATTTCACTGTTTGAGTACAAATATGTAAACTTCTCAATTGAAAAAAAAGGAATTTTACTTGAATCAAGTGCAGAAGTCCTTGACTTCTCCATCAGTGATTAGTGCTCATTGTTTTTGCAAAGGGTCGACTACAGCGGAACTGACTTGGGCGTAGCTTTCATGAGATCTCAACCCCACCTCATCCTTTTCACCCTGTGTTTGTTTTCCGTCTTCCTCCAGGTCTCCTTGGTGGGTTTCCTCTTTCTGCTGGGACTTTACATCTCCTCCCTTGCTTCCTGCATGGGTGGCTTGTATGGAGCACCCAGGATCCTCCAGTGCATCGCCGAAGAGAGGGTCATCCCCTCGCTGACCTTCTTAGCAAGAGGGGTGGGTGGTTAGAAGGTTGAGGGAACCTTCAGTCATCACGACAAAGCTTGAGATTATTTTATCATCTCTGTGTGCTGTTGGAGCTTTCACTTCAATCTACAATTGACGTTTAAGTGTACGTTAAACATTTAAGGTTTATCCAAAGGTAAAAAACCCCACATGGGTTCATTCTGTTGTTTTCTTAGGGTGTCTCGCCTCTCATTCAACATCCTTCTTCAGTTCTTCAAAACTAATTTTCATCTTGATTAAAGCTCCGGTTCAGTCTGAAGACAAGCAACCTTTCACTATATATCATGATAAACAACAAGTGGTGCCTAATCTTGTTTTCTTTTTTGAAGAAAGATGCATTGTGCAGTAATTCTGCCACAAAAAGTAAGGATTTGAAGAAAAGTAGATCTAGTTGACTACTTGATCTCCAAGTTCATTCATTCATAGCTTATTTATTTAATACCACAAAGCCCAAATTTTTTTATTAGTTCTCAGAGTGTTCATGTACACATTGCCTTCACCTCGACTGAAAGTAAATTATGAACTTCATTGCAAAATTCCTTAAGAGCTGTGAACTCAACTTGGAAGGTAGCAAGCTATTGCCAAAATTAACTACACAGACAGTGACAATGAAAGTGGCTAGGAGAGGTTTATTTCTAGTTGCAGTCATCTGCTGAAGAAATAACAGCATGAAATCATGAATTCGAGACATGTGTGGAGGAAGTTAATATCACTGCAGCTTCGCATTTATTGAAATGAATCCATCAACATACAGATTGACTGTGTTACTGCAGTGAATGGCACTTTGTAACCTGTTAAGTGTGTAGCCTGGATGTATAGGGGGTGTGGTGCTCAGACTCAGCAGGAAACTGTTTCTGAGCTGCCTAATTATAGTTTGGGCTCCATAAAGTAGAAGTGAGTGAACTGACCTCAGCAGAGCAGCATTACAGCACACTTGGTGAACAGTCACGTTGACGTTGTGACCTCTTTGACCCCAGGCTTCCCTGTATGGCAGCGCTACTCGGCCTCTCTCAGCAGGCTGGAATTAGGCCTGAGACATCTTGGCCCAAATCAAAGCCTCAGAACAAACGCAGGAAGGGCGACGGGCAGGGCCCTGCTCTGCTGTGTGCTCTGGAGGCCCGCCAGGCGCATAACAGTCCTGCCGTAACTGTGCAACAAGACAAAGTTGAAGAGGTTGCTGTTTGGTGACAGATTCAGACCTACAGAAGGAGGCAGTTCTTTGAAAGTTAAGGTGGAAGTAAAATCCAAATTTAGATAGAAATCAACAAATATGTTATTTTTATGTTTATTTAAATATGTTTGGGGCATATTAATGGAACTCTTGCTATAAGATGGAGGCTTCACTTTGATTACAAAGCTGTGATGTTAGCCAAGGAAAGAAGCAAATCCAAGTAATTTGAAATTAAAGCAATGCATTGTTTTCAGCAAAAGTTCATAGAGGAAACAATAATTGACTGCTGAAATGATAGACAGAAAGTATCTTCAGATGCCACTTTATATGTACTGAAACGCTTGTGTTTCTGTGTCAGTTGGCTTGTTCACCAATGGGCAACGTTAGTTTGCTTTGTTTTATTTTTGCTAACCAGCTCATAAGATAATTTGTTTTGTTCCCTAAGCTCTATAGTTCAGGTAGAAAAGTTGAGCAGTAGCTTTATCAAAACTACTACTTATGCACCCATGTAATCCAATCTAGATTTTGGAATGATTGGGTGTCAAGTATAGCATTGCTAACCATGCTGTGTAATTTTTTGTCTTGTTGGCAGAAAGGCCCAAACCGGACCCCGGTGGCAGCCATTTGTCTAACCAGCATGCTGACCATGGCGTTCATTTTCATTGGTCAGGTCAATGTGCTAGCACCAATTGTCACCATCAACTTCATGCTCACCTACAGCCTCATTGACTACTCCTACTTTTGTGTGGCCATGGCCTTCCAGCTTCAAACGAAACAGAAGAGTCAGACCTTCATTTCAGGAAGGGGAAGCAGGCGCAGGTCGACCAAGCAAAGTTCAAAGCCTCTGATTGCAACCCCTCTCCCCAATTATGGGAGTGGAGGCGAAAGTCCGCAGGGAAAAGGGACTCTGTTGGAGTTCAATAAGGATATGGACCAGATCTTCCCACCTGTCTCCAAACTTAATCCTGAACCAGAGAAAATGACTTTGAGGCAGGATTTGTGCAGCGGATCTCAGAGTAGGAAGGCTGCCACCAAGCAGAGACTGATGCACAGCTTTGGTCTTGATCTGAACAGTAACATGTTCTCAAATGAAAACGTAGGGGAGCAGAGCTCAGCCCCACTCCAGGAGGGAAACAAAGGGCAAAGTGGAGATGAGGAGTCCAGGGCTGGAGATCAACCTGAAGTCAAATATCACACAAGGATGGATGACACCCAGCAAGATTCACCTGCAGAGACTCATCTTTACAATGCAGGTGTGTAATTCGCTGGGACTAAGTTTTAACACAGAAGTGACCTTGTCCAATTTGTACTGACCTATAATCTTTCAGGTAATGAAGAAAAACCAGAGCAGCAACACTTTGAAATTCAACCCATGTGCGATGCCTTCTACACAAAGTTATGTAACCACTGGATTGCCCTCATTGGGGTAAATTACACAACACATGCAGCTAATTACAGTTTTCCTGTTCTCATAATCTGTTTTCAGATGACTTTACAATTAATGATGATTAATATGAACATTTTCTTTTTCAGGCAATGAGTTCCATATTGATTATGTTTATCATTCAGTGGGCTTATGCTTTAGCAAACATCCTGGCTGCATTGCTGCTCTTCTTCTACATTGGGAAAACAAGTCCTGGTTTACCTACAGGTAACGTCTGTAAGCTCATCTATCTGTAAAAACCAATCATGAGCTTCTAGCTTGTGAAAAGTCAATCTAGAGCAATGTCAAGCAGATCAAGCGAGAACAGAATAGTTCAAAACAGCCCAAAGCAGTTGTAAACACCAAAGGTGGGGGACAGCTTAACAAAACCTCTTCCTTAGCTGCCCGACTAGAGGAATGATTTCAGGAGCCAGGTGAGGCATAGCATCTGATTGGCCTCTGCTTTTCCAATGAGGTCGCTGCTGCTCTGCAGCCTTCAGGCAGCTAATCAGGAAGGTGTGCCCTCACTGCAGTCACCTGTTGAACAGTTGAACCTGCATATCAAAAAGAAGCCTGCACAGCCTCAAGAGGCCAGAGATTATGCTAGTGCAATTAAAATCAATTCAGTTTTTATTTGCTTTTTACATGCTTCTCACTAAGGGTGTCAACAGATTTTGCCATTGGTATTTCAAATGAGTCCTTTGGTTTGCTTTAATATATTTTTTACTTAAGAGTGTAAATAGGCCAGTTTTTAATATGTTTCTTAAAATTAGAACATTTTGTAATATCCAAATCTGTTATATTTTTAACTTGAGGTGCTTACTTCATGTTCAGTTAATATTTGTCTATAGCAACAGCCTCTGTTTTTAGGCTTCCCTTGCAGTCTCTCCCTACAGCAGCTTTGCAGCTGTTGTGGCTTAGGATTTCTCCATAAGCTGTATCTGTGCAGTGCAACACGTGTTGGTTAACGGACTCCGCACGTTTTCAAGCTCCAGTGTCAAGATTTATCCCACAGGTGGATGATGAAAATTTGCTCGTCTCAGAGCTGTCTGCAGTTTTCTAAAACACGTTGAAGTTCAGTAAATCTTATAACTGAGGTCAAAACAGTTAGCTCCCTCAAGGAAAAAGTTGAACCATTCCTACTTTGATTTATTTACAGGTATTGCAGCTCAGTTCAGCTTTTTCAGATGGCTGAAGACAATTCTTGGTAACCTATACAGGTATTGTATAGTTTTACAGTTGACTTTCAAATGTTTACTCTTAACTTTGTGAAAAGCTAAACTAAATTAAAGAAACATGTTTCAACTTTTAATTTTTTGTTTACTAATGAATTTCAACAATGTTGTACGTTATTAGTAAAACACATCCCTGACTTGTTTAAGAAAAATCTCCTGAGGCTTGTAAAACATTAGATTTTTTTTATTTATCTTTCTGAAGGAGCTATAACTAAATGGAAAAACATAAGTAGCTAAATAATTTCTGTAGTTTTTGGGGAACATTTTGGAAGGTGAATCCTTTTTATATAGAGCATAGTGTTTCAGGGATTTGACAAATTGCTAATAGTTATTTTATAGATGGGAGTGGGCTATTCTTCAAACATTTCTATTATGTCTTACTTGACCCTGAAGGAAGGAAAACTTTGGGAGTTCAAAACAGACTGGGAGAAGAATATTTGGGAGTGAGTTCAAAGTATCCAGAGAGGTGAAGAGGGACGTCCAGAGCTGATTTCTTTGGTCCAATAAGAGGGCAGCTCATTGCTGCCTAACGGATTGAAAGAAGAAACCACAAACTACTATTTAAAGTTGCCCATATTTACAGTCAGAACATTAATGAAAAATGTTAAAACTACCGGAACTGTGACAAACAAGAGTTGACAGAGACCCAAGTTTATTTTCCAGCTCCCTCAGGGAGGAGGATAGTAAAAATCTCAAAACCTCACTGTAGAACCACAGCAAAGTCTGAGGTCTCAGGCTCAGCATGTCCCTAAATAACAGCTTATTTTGTGGCTTTTTATACATCTTTACAAGGAGTGTAAGAGGGACCAGTATATCAGAGAATGTTAATTAACACTTAAGATGTCAGTGAAAATATCCCTCAAAATATTTTCAAGTTTTAAATTCTCATTTTTCTTAACTTCCAGGAAGAGAGGATCTCCCCAGGATGAGATGGTGGTGACTCCATCTCTCTCCGGAATTGGGCTCAAAACCAAGCAACTGACTGAGGAAAATACTGACTTTTCCTCTCGCCACCGCTTTCACCAATCTTGGTCCATCCAAGCTGACACAATGGTGCAACCACCGAACCAGTGACACGCTTGAACTCTGACTTACTTCTATGTCTGAAAACCTCAAACCACAAAGTGTGCCTCTTGCTGCTGCATTTTGCATATTTCCTTTGTAGCAAAGACTTTAAGTGCCTCAGGTCATTTTTGATTGGTGTTGAAAAAACAGCTGAACTTTTCTAAAAGATACTTATGTGCTCAAAGTCACGTTTATTCATTTGTTTTCACATTAAGTTTACAAATAAATTTATTTTGTTCAAAATTGTGTTGTTTGATTTTCCCAACATAACGTTTTTGTGACATTACAATAAATGTGTTACAAAGACTTGATTGAACATTTACACCTATTCAGATCATTCATAGCAAGATGCATTTTATTTTGAAAAGCCATATGTTTTTTCACTCTATAGTTACTTTGCAAAGAGCACAGAAGTCGTATTATATTCAACTTGCTTCTTCACAAAAATCAAGTTTGAAATATATCTTAGGGCACATGGATTATTTTGTAAAGTTAAGACAAAAAACATACAAATATTAACCAAAAACGTCTGCTTACACATTATGAACACACACACACATGAACATGAATGCTTTATGATGATATTCCACTTATTTGCTCACATTGCATAATGCATTAGAGGTAGATCTTGCTCTGCAGTGCTGGCAGAGGTATATTATATCACCTCTTCCTTCTTCCTGTCATATTCAGTCTCAAATATGACTGAATATTTGAGTTTTTTACTCTCATCTTGAGAGTAAAAATTTGCTTCCTGTTGTTTTGAGATGCTGTTCCATTGCTTGCATTGACAATAGCGTTGTTGCAGCTGAGGCGCCATCTCTATCGACACGGCAGTTTGCACACCTTTAAACCACAGGATATTTGGGCTCAGATGAGATAACTGCTGTTTTAAAAAGTGTTACTTATCAATCTATAGTTTTGACCATTTAACCAATAAGACCCGATACAGTGTCGGAAATGCATCAGCATTACGTTTGAGAATACCTGGAAAAAAGGAAGACTATTTTATGTTTGTCATTCTTGTTTTGGTCTTTAATTGTCTGTTCTTGATCAGAATCTATAACAAATTATGTTCCTGATTCTGAAGAATCAAGAGCAGATTCTTCAGAAATTCTTCAGATTTCTTAAATTTGTTCCATTTTGTCATGTTACAACCACACAATTCAATGTATTTTATTAGCTTTTTCTGTGATATACTGACAAAGTTAAGTGAAAGACAAATTATAAAACTTTTTATTCGTTTTGAAAATCAGTATTTTAACAGGGTATGCATTCAGCAGCTCTGAGGCAGCCCTTTGTAGAAACACCTTTTGCTACAATTACAGCTTTGGGGGAATGTTTCTGCCAGCTTTGCTCATTTGGAGTCTAAAAAGTAACTCAAACTTAGTCAGACTGGATCAACAGAGTCTTTCCAAAGGCTGCCAGTTGAATTTACACCTGGACTTTGAAATATTCTAACACATTGATATGCTTTGTTATAGGCGGCAATATTGCAGATCTGGTTGTTTATTTGAGCCGGACTATTCCAACATATAATGCCGTAATTTAAATATTCAAACAAAGATTGCGTGTTTAGGCCAGTGTTCAGCTAAAGTGTTTATAAATCAAATAAAATAGAATTTTTTAACACTAAGTAAATCCCCAAAGTTAATATTTTTTAATGAATACTTTTTTTTTTAGTTCAGCATTATTACTCATGAGCTTTGGGTAAATAGGCAACGCTTTGTGCGTTCAAGTGAGTAGGCACCCACAAATGGCTGTCATGGCAAATTCAAAGATTTTTCAAACATGCATAAAAGAAATAAAAACACTGCAGGAATGAGGGGATAGCATTATATCATGATACAAAACTAAAACAAAAACACACAAAAAATGTTGACTTTTATATAACATCCCTCAACACATTTTGATCTTGGCCCTTTGCCTTCAGATTCAACTTATCTGGTTTTGTGCTAAAACAGGATGTTAGTAAGATATTCACTGCTTATAATGTCCTAATAGAACCTCACTTCAGATATCATGAACTTATGATGCTTTCATTTTTTCCACATTCTGTCTTCAGTATACCTATTCAAACATTGTTAAACTCTAACGCGTAATCCTAACACTCACATTGAGCACTATTTAGGATTCATTACTTTGGGTATTACTTCAGACACCTGCAGGCAGCTCAGTGATCAGACTCGAGTCTGTATGCGTGCATGTGGAGGAAGAGGAGGAGGAGGAGCCCGGACTCCTCCGCCGTGATAACAGGCTACAGCTTGGGCTCTGTTATCTTCCGCTCCCCGCCAGCAGAACCACGGATCTCCTCCGGACCTCCAGCAGGAGTCATACATTTCCCATCTGAACTTTCTCCAACACCAGGAGCGCTCGTCCCATGGTGTCCCCGGCGGAGGACTCCCGGGCATCCACTCGTGTTTGCGGAATCGATCTGCGGCCGCTACTTCGGGGGTCTCACAAAAAGGAGTCATGGGAACGTGGCTTTTGAATCAAGTCCTCCTCTGCTCTCTGTGGGTGCTGGGTCTGGGTCTGCCGGGGCCCCTCTGGGCAGGGACCCCCGACTACAACAGCACGAATTCGGTAACGGACGGGTCGTATTACTCAGCGGCCACAGATGAACCCAGCAACACCGAAGACGGCGAAACTTCCACTTCATACTCCAGCGAGAGTTTATCACCATCACAGAGGGACCTCCTGCTCACACACACGGCTGGGACCCACGCTGCCACCGCTGGGCGCCTCGGTAAGATCCCAGAATGAATAACAAAGTTCAAAGCGTTAAACCATATTTCCTAATGCAGCTTTTAATTTATGATGTCAAAGGGATCAATAGCTTCAGGATGCAGCATGGTGCTTCCAGACTGAGCCACGTGATAAATGTTGTAACAATGAGGTTGTTTTAAAAACAGAACCATTACTATTTTTTTTTTGGGCCCACGATGTTTTTGTAAGAGTGTTTCTAAATCCCGAGTGAAATTAAATTTAAAGCAGTCTTTTATGTAGAAAACAGATCTAGAACCGTAAATAATGAATAATAAGAGCATCAGTCTAAGCTGCATCCAGTTCTATTTGTGTTGTCCACAAAGAAACAGAAAACAAAAACACTTTTGCTGCACATGATCATATGTCTTAACTGATTAAGTGGTCCTCAAGTAGTTCTAATTATGTTTTAGGTCTCACACTAAATGTCTTTAGAAAACTTTTATTTTTCATAAATCTTGTAAATCTAATGGTAAGTAATGGATAAAATAGCCACATTGTTTTAATAAGAAATGTGGTCAGAATGTAACTAAAGCTGTTCGTTCAGTCACCTGGTGTTGTCATTGCATGTGCTGTCCAAAAGAATGGTGTGTAGATTGTTAAATAAATAAAAGAGGGTTTTAAGTTTGTTTTTTTTACATTCCCTATCAAAGTTAGCAGCAAATCTGAAGTCAAACTTGGCTCAAGCTGAGGGTCTTCACCCTCATTTAATGGGTTAAGTGGACATTTACTTATTAAACTTAAGGGTTTGGTATCAACATGAACTGAAAGTCACTCAGAGGAATATTCTGTTACCCCAAAACTACATGTAACATATATTACATATATGAATGAATGGTATTATGTTTTGCCGACGCACTCAGAAATATTGATTAAATGTTTTGAAGTATAATGTATGCAAGCTGTTCAGCCCTATTATTAGTTAAATGCAGGAAGTTTGTGTAGCCTTGAACTAATACAGTATCTGTTTATGACACTAGACCCTTTTAGCTATCTTAAGTGAACTTGATGAAGTTCTTCCAATATAAAGAAATTGCGGACAGAGCTGAAACTCAATTATGACATCATGAATATGTCGAGCAGCATCCTCAGATGACTCCATTCTGGGCAGCATACTCTAATTTCCTGCAGTTTATGTGCTGTGTCAGTTGGCAAAGACAAGACTCATACGAGAAGAACATATTCATGAAGAGTTTTTGCTTTGACACATGCAGAAGTTGTCATTTTTAAAAATATATTTATTTTGCTTTTGAAGGAATTGGCGACAATTTCCTGCATATAAACCATCGGGCATTTTATTTTGTCATCTAGCTCACAGTTAGTTTTCAGACTAATAAAACAAATATGGGATATTTTCCCTGATTCTTCTACTTTTTACAAAACTTTCTACTACCATCTTTAATTCAAGAGAGGTTATTATGCCTTAATGCGATCTTGGAAAGCCAGTTATCAAGGTTTTGCCCGCTTTTGGTGAATTGATTCAAAACATTTTAGTCAAACCCTCTGCTTCCTGTGTGACAGCTCTGGAAAATCAAAAGAAATTGTCCACATCAGGAGAAATTTGTGAACCTCCATGACTCTGAAAGTACCAGTTTTATCTTTTCAAGAGCTTATATACAAGTATAACATCCAGCAATCATTCCATTCAGGAGACGGGTCATGTATTGCATAGTGGATGTCCTCTCAGTGAGGAAGACCTGTGTGGTGGCCTGGTTGAAGTAGAACTGAAGTGTTTGGACGTAATCACCATTGTGACATTTGAAGGAAAATAGGAAAACATACAAGTTGCAGAACAAGATCCTTTCTGTGAAATATGGGGCTGGTAACATTATATCATTTTGTACGAGAGGGATTGTTGCACATTCAACATGGATGTTACCGCAAGAAACGACATTTTGTGGATCAATATCAAAGCAAGATCTCAAGATATCGGCCAGTCTGAGCATGAATGGGTTTCACAAATGGATAGTAACCCAAAGCATAACAGCAAAACACTTTATCTTTTTCTTCTTCTTTTTTTTTGACGAGGGCCTTCTCTCTTTGGAAAGTTTTTTATTTTATATAGAAAGTTTCTGAGTAGAGCTAAAAAGATATGTGAGTGAGGCTGTATACAACCTGACGATTTTTATCAGGAGTAATAGACCAAACATCCAGCAAATTATTGTTTCCAGCATGTTCAAGGGTACACAGAGTAGTTGATCCAAGCCTTTAGTTTTGAAAGGTAATAAGACGTCTCTAAACATCTCACTTTGAGTGAAGTTTAAAAAAATCACCAAAAATGTATTTTTCTCGTTATTTTCTAAATAAAAATAAGTTTGTCAATCCTAAAATAAAACAGTTCAAGTTTAGTCTCATTTAAGAAAAGACATTGTCAAAAATGTCTTTGCTTTAGGTCTTGTTATTAATATCTGGTGTCAGCTGTACATATGTCCCAGATTACATAAAAAAAAACAGCTTTCGAGGATTTTCTATATTT